TATATATATATATATATATGTCGCGGCGTTATATATATCACCGCGTATGGTTTACAAAGAATACACAACTGAATGTGAAAAACCAGGAATGGGAAAAACATATTCGGAATAATTTAGTTAGTGTAGAATTATTTTTTTCGAGACAATTTTCTATTTTTGGTCAAAGCCGTTTGAGTCGTGCGTGTCAACTAAACGGTAGATCCCTTTTTAAAATACATTTATTTCAGTGAAATCCTCTGCACGTATATCTATAAATCACATACACGCACGCACGCACGCACGCACGCACGCACGCACGCACGCACGTGCATACGCACATGCAATTTATACACACATACTTTAAGCGTTACACGCCTAAACGGTAAAATAAAATTCAAATAAAAATTGTGATAGAAACGTAAATCAAATAGAAATACATAGATATACGAGAGGTCGTCTTTTTTTCGCACCAACATTATTAATGACACTTTGTAGCAGCACACGCTCTCGCACAGTGTACGTAACTATCTTATATAACTAAACATTGTGACGTGTAATTAGAAACTTACAATAACAAGAATTATCGCGAGATTTATAATATATTTAGAGCATATATGTATATACATTATATGAAATATAACGTCGTTGTCGAAATTATACGATACTATAACGCATTAGTTAAGATAGGCGTGATTTTTTGTGTTTGGTTTTTCAAGTTCTATCATTAAAGCACAGAACCTTCTTGCCAAGCACAGAAATACGCCGTCTCCGAACACCGTATTCTTTGGAACGTTCTAAAGACCGAAGGCTGAATTAGAATTAGACGGCATTATCGCGGATATCATTACCTCGACACTTTGAAAGATTCATCGACAATGTGTGTGCGCGCGCGCGTGTGTATGTGTGTTTATTATACACACACTATTATATTACATGCGCGCGTATGTGCTCGTTTTATTCTTTTTTTTCTGTTTTTTTCTCGTTTAGACGAAGCTATCAACAGCTTGTGTTTCTAAGCTTTCATACGCCGAATGACGAATAAATGATCAGCGACAAATATCAATTGAAATCTCACATTTTTTTTCGACTACTAGGTAGTTATTTACAAAAAATTATACTTCACGGATCACCTTAATTTTGATGTATATTATAAAATGTAATCCTGAGCCATCTATACTCTGAATTATGTGAGGGTTGCATGTAATAATTTCTGAGATATATCGTTTTAAAATGTTTCAATTTTACACTTGATATTTTCCTCAATTGTTTATCGCTGCTACTATTCCAAATTCTTTGTTTTTTTTGTTTATATGGGCTAATTTCTGAGTACGTTATATGATGAATGGATATCGAGAAAAGGATTCACCTCCAATGAGCTTGATCTATGTCAATATACGTTGTCTATATTGATTAGAAGGGTTCGGAAAGAACCCTCTCAATGTATATAATAGCATTTTTTATATGTTTAATATTGACTTAAATAAACGGCTTTTTCGAAAAAACTTTTTCAGATTCCAGTGCCGTACATACAACCTTTACGTGATTCGAAGTACAGATGATTCAGAATTCCATCATGTATAACATATGTATGAAAATTAAAGTAACTCATGAAATAACCTTTCATAAATAATTACCAATATTATAATAGTATTTATACATATTAATAACAATGCATTTATTTAATGATGATATTTATGTTATTGTGCTTTAATAATTGAATAACTCTTACAACATGAACTTTGTTCTCATATTATATTTCTATTTATTATCGTTCGTGTATTTATAATCGCATGACACACTGGAATACTGGATACGTTCGTAGGTGAACGTGAAATGAACGCAAATCATGATTCATCGCCTTTCAATCGCGAAGAGAAAAACAAAGAAACAAAAAGAATGAAGACAAAATTGAGAAAAAGTGCGAGATACATTTGTCGATTTTTTGCAGCTACTACTCGCGGAAACACCGGCAGATACGAAATTTAAGTGAAGATACTACGTTTAACTATATTCAACCGAGAAAACATCCGTAATAACGCGTACTTCTTTTTCGTCCTTTGAATACTCTTAAAATCTGTACTCAACGTTATTGTCAATCCGATAACTCTTTCTGATGCCTCTACGCGTCTATACGTGCTAATACGTAACAGCGTAAGCTTTTACACAATGCCATTATTACGAGACACAAAACGCAACTTAACAAAAATTTACAATATCATGGTGATATACGTATAATATATCAACATAGAAAAAAAAAAAGAAAATACAACATCATCGAGCGAAATACTCAAACATTTTCCATTTTCCCTTGCCTACTGAGCTCGATAGCGAGAGCCAGATCGGCGTCCTCCTTCTCCTTACGCCTGAGTCTTTCCTGTTCCGTTTTTAAACTCTGTTTCTCCGCCCAAGCTAATTGTTCTTCCTCCGACAGATCGGTCACATTATTACCGTTCCACATCTTGCCGAAATCATTCGCAAGCTTCCCGTCGTTATAGGCGGTTTTTATTTTCGAAACGTCCAACTCGTGCTTCGTGACAGTTTTCGCGCCTTTAGCTGAAAACGCTTCATCGAGATCGAACGTTTTTGCTTTTACGTTAGCGAACGCGTTCGAGAAGTCGGTCTCGATGATTTGAGCGTTCCTGTTATCGACAGCGAACGCTTTCCCGAAGTCGGCATCGAACTTGTTCGCCGTTGCAGCGCTTTTCTCGATCTTCGTCTTGACGAGCGGAAATGTGTTTGAGAAATCGCTATCGGAAGCTTTGGCCAAAGAATTTTTACCGGAAAAAGCAGAAATTGTCCCAAAGCCGAAGGGATCCGTTTTGTCCGCACCATCACTGCTCTTGTTTGCATTTGCGTCCTCAGTTTCATCTTCAGCGAACGGGTCCGTTATGTTAAAAGGATCCTCGTAACGATAGTCGCGAAAGGGATCCTCCGTGAAGTCCGACAGCTTAGGTTGCGTCAGTACTACGTGACTCCTACTCGTCGCTCTTGCTGGCAGAGTCGTTCGATTAGGCGTTGGTTCCGGCTGAAGCAGGTTTTTGTCACTGGTCAGTTTTGTTTTACTGAAAGAAGGTACAAGCAAAATAACGCGAATACCGTCGACTGTCGTCCGGATTTAGCGACTGCTGGATTTAAGCCGCTACTAGTCGCTAGCAACACTGCAAAAATATTGTGATTTTATCACGTTCGAGTCGCGTTTATCGGTTTATTAAGTAATTTCGTTCGAATCGTTAAACGCGACTCGAGACAATCTGGAGTGTAAGCGATCGACTAATAACGAAAATATCATCATGCAATAGTGACGTAAATAAATTATTCAAATATCCTAGAAAAAAATATAAAGAAATTAATCTGCAGACAGCATGCTCTCCGAGAAGGCAGCCAGTGGCAGGCAGGTAAACTCAAAATTGTGTGTGCAGCTTCTACCTAAATATGAAACAAAATATTATTAAATACAATTAATACATTTAATATAGAAACGCAATATGATTACGAAAAAAACTCACTCGCGACATTCGGATATTGTACATTTAATGATACTTGATTATATATCGCGCGCGCGCGCTGTGTGTGTGTGTGTGTACAGAGTGTAACTAAAATATAAAGAACAAATTTAGGGAACGAGCTCTCCGCGCCAAACGCATAAAGAATTCTATTCGACGTATATTCGCACTGTTACTGAGATATAACTCAAACAAATGTTTATTAATGCAAAATGAAAAAGTAATATTTCATTATTTAATATTATTTATTACTTTCAGTTTTCAATTACAAATGTTCAAAGTGCCTCCATTTAACTCAATACATGTAAGGATACGTCAGATCATAGACTGTCGTACCCTTTCATAGATCCTGGGCCGAATAGTTTCAAAAAACAGCAAAGATATGTTGGTGTACTATATCTTCGTTGCCAATTTCGTAAACTGATGGATTTTAAGTGTCGCCACGTAAGGACCGACGAGCAATTGCTCCGATTGTAAGTAGTAAATCGTATTATAAGAGAATCCTGTTTTACCGCAAATTTGTTAATACTCGTTACTGGCTGCACAGAATTTAAAATCCTTCTGCACAATTGCAATACACATGGTAATGAAAAAAAGTTAAATTATAAAATTCTCTTTGTTTTTCGAATAAAGTCAAATACTCGTTTACCTCCTGTACGACCTCTTCCATTTCACCCAATTTTTTATCCCGTCAGGAAAGTCTTGAGTTTCGGGAACAGATGGTAATCCGAGGGAGCTGAATCGAGTGAATATGCGGAAGCAGTTCAAATTGCAGTTCGGTCAATTTTTGATCAACGAGACTACTTGAATACGCCGGTGCGTTACCATGGTGGAGCAACACCCTTTTTTGGCGATTCCTGGATATTTCTCCGCGATCGCTGCTTTTAATCGGTCCAAAAGTGATGCGTAATATTCTCCACTGATGGTTTTTCCCTTCTCGAAGTAGCCAATCAGGAGAATTCCTCTCGCATCCCAAAAAACTGATCACCTTTCCCGGCAGATGGAACGCATTTCGCCTTTTTCGATTCGCGGTCCACTCTTTCGACTGCTGTTTCGTTTCCGGGATATAATGGTGAATCCAAGTTTCATCCATGATTACAAAACGTCGCAAAAAATCCGCTGGATTCTTCTTAAACACTTGCAAACAGTCGGCTGATATTCACAATCGTTTCTGCTCTGGTGTGACCGGCACCCATCTTGCGCTAAGTTTTTCATGTGCAATTCATTACGCAAAATGAAGTGAACCCACTCAGTTGAGACGCCTGTGGCATCTCTGCTAACTCGCGCACCTTCACTCATCTGTCGGTCAAAACCATTTCATGGACTTTATGATTCCTGGCGTCACAGTTGATTTCGAGGACGCGGTGCATCTTCGATGCTTGTTCCAACCACGTTGGAATTCATTTACCCAAAGTCGAATGGTTTCATAGGAAGGACATGAGTCACCCAATGTAAGGGAAATCCTCTCATGAATTTCCTTCGCCCTTCCAGAAAAAAGAATCATACCACGAATTCCGATTTTATCCATTTCCCACTGTCACTCGAAACACTTCTGTTTAAGCAACTATCAAACAACATTTAGGGGGAACCTTGAGGAGTATTTCCACCAAGCGGCACGGCAGCTGTTCAGTCGGCAACGGTACGCAGTTACGTGAATGTCGAGAACTCCGAGCGTCGCATTTCACCATGACCGAGCGGAGAATTTGCATGAAATTTTGCCAAAAACTTGGCCACACATAGACAACCGAGACAATCGGTATGATCCGTAAAGTTTGTGGTAATGACTCTATGAGTGATGCACAAATAAAAGAGTGGTTTAAACAGTTCAAAGATAGTTGTGTCAAATTGGCCCCACATGTTGCTACATGTTTTTAACGTAAAATTTCCCCCTCTATCGATTTCCGATATCAAAAATAGGCTATTCTACTTAAGAAAACAAAAGTTGGCCTTCAAATGATCTTGAAAAAGAACATCCGTGACAAAGACAAGGTTATCATCGCGGGTGTTCCCCTCTACAATTTTTGTTTAAAATGTTTTTCTTTAAAACGTCTTTCTAAAAAAAAGATTTCAATTGATCTTTCAAAATGGGACACTCTGTATACGTGTGTGTGTGTGTGTATAGTGCATGAAAACAATTTACAAAGATAATAAATATGCTATTAAAGAAGAAGATAGTATTATCAAAGAAATTATAGATAAAGATAATATTATCAAAGAAATTTATAAAATTTGCACGGGTAGGGATGAATACTATTATTGAATGTACATACCTTTGAATCAAAATTGGTGAAATCAGCGAATCCGGTGGAAGATGTGAAACTATTGATGTTATTGTTGTCAATCGTTGTTTGTTGAGCACTAAATGGATCGGAGTTTGCATTCGTAAACGGATCCGGAGTAGGCGAAGGCGTTGGAGGAGCAGGGGCAGCTCTTAATGGACCAGTTGGACCTTGACTGGGTCGTGGTGGAGCAGGTCGTGGCGGTGGTTGCTTCGCTTTCTTCGGCGGAAGAGCAGGACTGGGGCTTTCTGGGCGCGGAGGAGCGTGGAGATTCGAGAATGGATCATCCCCGAATGGATCCTTCGTATTCTTAATATAGAAAAAAAAAAAAGAAGGGAGCGTTATATTAGTTATTCTTTAACGTTTCTACAAATCATAAAATACAGAACGAGTTTATAAAGAGATTTTGTCACATACCGACGTCGCAGTTGTAGATAACTTGTCGGCATGCTTTCCATTGTCAAATGGATCGAAAGGATCCTGCTTTGCCGTTGCATTAGTATTGTCAAACGCGGTGAAAGGGTCTGCTCCGAAACTTTCCTGCCATTTTTTTATTTTTTAATTAACGATGGCGCACGTAAAAACTCGAGGAAATGAAACAAGGAAATAGATATTACTTGTACATTAATTTACGAAGAACTTACGTTAGATGGCTGCACAGAAAATGCACTTCCAAACGGATCAGATGATGGTGCGCTGAATACTTCTTTGGCTTTACTAGTCGCGAAAGGATCTTGTTCTCCGAATCCATCTAAAACGTTAGTAGCGGTTGCTTCGGAAAAGGCATCAGTTTTTATCTCCTTTACTTCGTCCGCATTCTTTGTTGGCGATTTATATCTAATTTATTTGTAACACACAAAGACATTATTATTAAAATTATAGGAAAAAGAAATGAGGGACAGAAAGAGTGGGAAGGAGGGGGGAGAAAAACTTGATACATACTCTATATCCACAATCTCGGTAATCTCTATAAACCGTAGACTAGTATCAGGTACAAGAGCGACATCGCCCGCGTCTAGCGCAGAATCATAAAGCGCAATGGAGTCGCTCATTTGACGTTGCTGCTCCTGTAGATGAGTAATCTTTGCCTTTGCTTGACAGATTTCCAATTGAGTGTCCTGTAGCTTTTTGGTGAGTTCGTTTAGTTGGTCCCTATTCTTATTCTGTTGTTGCTCCAAATGTTGCTCTTCCTGTCGTAGACCTTCGAGTTCCTGCCTCTTAAGATTCAGCTCCTCTTCCTGAGTCCGCAGTACTGACTCTTGTTCTTCAGCTTGCTGACGGAGCTTATCAACCTTAGATGACACATAAGGTGGATTTGTGAACAATTTGGCAGTCTTCCTCGTTTTATAAATTTGTAGTAAGACAAGTACAGTCTTATGTATTAATTTGCAAATTTATATCTATATTTTTACAATTAAAATAGTATGAAAAATACGAAAGTATGTTTTAAACGTTTAGATTACGTTATATATATATAGTGCAACAATTCATGCATGCCGGCGAAGCACTAATAATGCACTAGTGTTATCTGTACGTGTGTATTACAAGAGTATATTTAACCGTATGACGGAGGTCAGTAGTTTTATTTAATTCGACAATACTAACAAATATTTCCAAAAATACATACATACATCAACGATATGTTACAAAAAGTGTTGCCAAAACATTATGCATGAAAAAAAGATTTACCCAAAACGTGTACTTTATACTGCAAGAAATCACATATTAAATACAAATTTAATATATAAAATATTATAATTCACGTTAAACGATATTATTTTGACATCTTTTTTATGTACCTTCTTCAGTTCCTCCCAAATCTTCTCTTCGACTTCACTCAAATCTCTATCTATTTCAGCCTTCTACAAGCCAAACATAATAAAATAAAATCATGAAGGGAAACGAAAATATAATACAAAATAAACGAATAATTAATGAGAAAATCGCGTTTATTTTTTTTTAAGTGTAACGTGTCAGCCTTCATTAGCTATATAGGGTGCTTGATACAACATATATATTCGCTCGTGTGCAATTAGAACTCATCAAACTGGATAAAAAGTCGCTTACCATTTTGCACACAATTACAATTATTATGATAATTAAAAAAAATTAGCGAATTAGTATACGTAATACGATGGGATGAACTTCGTAGAGCAGTTTAAAGATACATATCTTGACTATTTCCTGGTAGTGATAAATATCGGCTGGCAGCGAAACATCCAATAACGTTGTAAGCAACGTAGTCCAGCGTTACATACATAATTCTGCCAATATTTTCTGTTTCAGGAGATCACAGGAAATAAACTCAAGACATATCTTCGTAGACTCCCCTACACAGTTCATCTCACTGTACTCTGCGCACTTGCGACAATTTCTTTTAATTAATATTTCAATAATTATTTTGGTTATTTGTAAAATAATAAAAAACTATTTCATTCAGTGTTATTTATTCTACCTGTACACATGTGCAAATGTATGCGTTGTGTCAGACATCCTGTAAATATAAATTGAAATAAGCGAAGAACTAAAGTATGTAAAAAAAAAAAAGAAGTGATTTAAATTTTGTGTATGTGTGTGTGTGTGTGTGTGTGTGTGGGTGTGTGTGTATACATACACGAGCGTGGCATAGCAGATAGCGCACTGGTCTGTTATACTAGAGGTCCGCTTCCCCCGGTAGAACCAAAATATTTTCTTACGCTCGTGTCTTCCTCTCCGATGAACTTGGCAAACCACCGAGAGAAAGAGAGAGAGAATATCTTCACAAAAAACCCCACTCAAACTGCCGTTTGGAATCGGTTTTAAACTAAGTCCCATATACTTGTATATAATCTGCGTGCGTACCACAAATATATGCGTTTGAGGATCGGACAACGGCGAAAGACGTTATAAAACCGATATATATATATATATATACACACACACACATATATGTATGTTCAAACAAAAATGTATTAATATAACACTGATATATCAGTATACATGAAAGTTCAATGTGTTTGTTATTACTATTTATTATTATTTTATTTCATTCATCAAACATTGTAATATAAAAAAAAAATTAAGATTACAAGAGCAATGTACAAGTAACAACTGCACGTGCACCTTCATGTAGTTGTGCCTAAAAAGCAGTGCTGCACATTCAATAAGCAAGCTACTGTTCGATACATCATCAAATCTTTGTTTACCTGTGCCTTTAAGTCATTTAATCTCTTCTGCGCCTCACCCTTTTGATTCCCAAGTTGTTTCAAGGTTGCCGCAAGCGTGTCTAACTCACTTTGAAGGCTCTTAATTTCTCCATTCTTTATTTTTATGTCTGCTTCTTTCTGCGCTATATCCTGCTCCATGCTTTGCCTTTCGCGCACAAGTTCTGCTATGTCTTTGCTTATCATATCCAGTTCTGGATTTGAATAACCTGATATGTTATTGTTTTCCTGAAACATCATAACATATTTAAAAGATCAGTGCTTGTAATCCTTGTTGAAATATCTATCATATCGTAACATTTACTTGTGGGAAAGTGTAACATATTTACTTTGATATATAATTAATTTACATTAAGGACCTGTGTTATATATTAAAAATTAGATTATTAGACTAGAAACATTTTAATTGCGTTCATTTCATTCTGAATATACAATTTTGATGCAATTTAGATCCGATATAACATTGTAGCCTCGTTGTGTGTTACAAATATACGTTCGAAATCTGTTTCGTATTGCGTTGTAATTTATATATGAATGAAATTGCTATCACAAAGTTTGCGTCTTATGAATTCTTGTATATATTGCTCGCAACTCATATTTGATTCTTCCAAGGTCATCTGCATAATAACTTAGACAATCTACTATCTCGGGCTATGACTTTTAACCGTTTAATCTCGTTTTATCTCGATTTTTCGATCGTAATTTAGATCCCTAAATTTAAACCAATTACGTTGATAATTCAACCGTTATGCAACCGTTGTGTCCGTTGTGTCCGCTGAACACAACGTATATACATCTCTATATTTAAAGAACAAATACAAAACATCAGGCACATCGATTGGCGTTTTACCATATAGTGTTGTAAATAACTTCATGATAATCTTGACGTAGCATGAAGATACGCGTAATAATATCCATTGTAGTTTATTATTATTTAAGTAAAATTTCTTTTACTTTATCACAATCACGCTATTTAGACAAACATAATGAATTGCGGAAGAAAATCAACAGAATACTTCATGGCAAACAGGGTACGCTTTTATCACACGTAAATAACACAGTTTGTATAATGATTTTGTCGTATAAGTAATTATAATAAGGTGGCGAGATGTTACTGAATATTGACGAATACGAGTATCCGCGAACCAACGAAACTCTGAGGCAGATTCACAAACAGCAGTGGCTAGATTATTATGAGTGTTTGGAAAGGACATACATAGGACGCGAGGGGATTATCTATCCAAGTGCGCTCACAGCGCTCGAAGGAACTTCTGTGACGTACGATTAAAAAAAGAAATAGGCTAGTATTCAGAGCCGGATCTTATACTTGAGAACATCTTAATTTTGTCTTCACTATATATTGTAGCCAATGAAACAATCAATAAAGCATCCGAAGATGAACTTAAGGCGATTTTAAACATAAGGTCTGATTATGAATGCCGGCCAAAGTCCATAGGGAATAATTGCGAAATTAAATAAGAGGTTAATTTGCAGTTTAAATTGTGAAATTTGTATTTCGCCAGCAGAGATGCGTATGGCCAATTTAATAGAATGGTATTCCAACAGCAGCAGCCACAAAGACAACATCAATAAAAGAATCGTAGAAGATATAGATCATATCGTCCGACAGTCATCAGACAACCAGTATATTGTCATGTATAATCTCAAAGTATATATTCCAAGATGTATAATGTATTACACGTGTATTACACATGTGTGCACAAATGATCATACTTTAGCTAGAACAGACGGGATTATATTGGTGCGAAATGCGACATACCACGGGATCGGCTTACTACCTGCATATTGATAGCGATTTTAAGACGATAGATATGTATCCAGAGACAGCGGTTCATGCTTTGACTAAGAGTATACCAGAATATGAGCTGAAAATTCACACTACTTGGACTGCATGGGGCTCATGTTCTACATGTGGCATGGTCGGAATAAAATTTCGATACGGTTACTGCACTATTTCCTTTCTCGGAACATATACGACCAACGCACCAATAGCTGATAAATTGCAATATACAAAGAGAAAAGGTAAATTTAAAAGAACAAATGACGAGTTTTTTCCAGCTTTTCCCAATCCTTATTCGATCCTAAGCCGAAGAATGGAATGAAAAGATCGAGAATACAACTCAGACAACGACAGTGAACGAGAGTCTGCGGGTCCGATTGAGAACGGCGCTATTATTATTTAAAAATCAATTGCCATGTAAATCAAAACTTGTCCCAAAACAGATTCAGATAATACCAGCCGTTAAAAACAGAGGAACTGAAATGATGAGGCGTTATTGCAAGGTATCTATGTTGAAAGATTAGCGATTATGGGGAATCGAACAAATAACATTAGCTTTGTTCTCTTGCGATAGAAAAAGTGCCGAAAAAACATAATATTCGAAGTACGCGACGAGAAGGGAAATATTCTAGAAAGTGCAAACAATAGTGCTGGTATATATTCTATGATTCAAGGAATACCTAAGCTGTTGCCATCAGTAACACGTACTGCAGTTTATAAAAAACATAATAAAAAGATCAAACTCGTATGTCCAGGGTAGTATAAAAGTCACTAAGAAAAAATTACTTTTTAATGAGCGATAAAAAGAACTATTGTCTTGATCTATATTGACATTTCAGAAACTTAAATATGGATGTTCCGATTAACTGGCAGATTGACGATAAGATAATAATCCCGTCCCGCATCGCAAAACAGTCAAATGGAAGAATCCGCATTAATCCTCAGATGCATATAATATTTCAATCTCTCAAGTTTGAAGACACTAATACATATAGGTAAGTCAAATTTATTAGCTAGCAAATAAACGACAAAGTCTAAAAAAATTATTTTCCGTTATTAGTTGCTGGCAAGATAATGAACTCACTGGTATAATAAATCTAAATGTGATTGGAGAAGTCGAATTTAAATTAAATCATCACGTTATTTTAATTGGCGCCATTTGTATAATTAGTGTATTTCTCGTAATATTCTGGAAAGCTTTCAAAGGCCATACACGATATACGATGCATTAATAGAATTGTGTAAATTTTGACATTAAGTGCCTTATAATTCAGGATATATAAGCCGTATGTACGTTTGTATGCATAGATGTAGCAAAAAAAAAATCAGGAAAATACTTCAATAAAATTACCACAATAGTTTCTCCAACTTTCCGCATTGAAGGTGGTACCATTTCTGGAGTTAAATTTGCCGGAGGATCTATACCATTGAGTGTCTGTTTAATAAGCCACATAGCTATAGCGAATTGTTCCTTATTCAGTTTTCCGCTTTGACAAGTATCACATAAACTCCTATAACAGTGAGCAATGTCTTTGTTAACGCCTCGGTTATGACTCTCGATATCATCCACTGTAAAATAGTACTCTACTCACCAAATATGAGCTAATACAGTGTGTGGAAGTCCACTTTGAAGGAAGACGTCTTTGATTTCCAAACCCGAGACAAATCCATCCATGTCCATGTCAGCTTGTAAAAATAATTTCTCCGCGGCTATTTGATCCTCGACTGAGACTACCCACTGCACTTGCGTAGTCATCTAAAAGTACGCCATACATGAATATTACAGTGTTAATTATCGTACGAGCGTTGTGAGCATTACAAGTTTTCTTTAGGTTACAGTTTAAAGGATAAATACTTTTACGTCTAACCCAGTCAAGCTCTTCACAGCCGTTGTGTTCGGCAAGGGTGGGATTGGCGGTGGTTGCGATGACGATGATGCCAATATTGCTGATGCCATGCCCATTGGTACAGGGGATTTCGGCTTAGGCATAACAATATCTTTTCTTTTACCAGGTGGCATTAATTCTGGTGGAAGTACACTTGGTATTGCATATTTTTCCAATGCTTTATATACAAGATGCATGGCCTAATATGGTAGTAAACAGGATTATATACAGAAGCAAAATTTTAAAACATCACTACATAAGCGCTATAACCAATACTTACAACTACAAATTCATGTCTGTCCAGCATACCATCTTTGTCCATATCTGCCAAATCCCAGATCTTCCCAAGAGTATCCAAAGGAAGTTTGCTATCCATAAGAACACCTTTCACTTTATTCCCAGATATATATCCATTGGATGGTTGTAAGCTATCAAAAAGCTGATCATATTTTGCCCGTTCTGTAGGATTAATCGACCAATCTCCATTGTTTATGGATGTTATTACAGGCAGAGCGTTAGTAATAGTCTTCTGAGGAATAACTGGGATTTCTCCCTAATGCCAAACAAAATGTATCATATAATGTTTATTTCAATTACAAATACATATGTAGGTAAGCTTACCATTTTTGGTGGCGGTAATTCAAGATTTAAGTTAGACATATTTAAATCTTTTCCACTCTGTGCCAGTGCGCACAACTTCAGAGCGACAAAAAGGCCAGACTTATCCAAGCTTCCACGTGACTGTGGATCAGCCATATCCCATATTTTACTTAAAATAACATCACTCAGCTGGGATTTCTTAAGAAATCTTGCAGCATCCATTGCTTCAATTCGTCCCTGTCCATTTGGATCAACCTAGAAACAATATAGCTGATTTGTACATAACTGCCCATACATTTGTATACACATATGCATACAGTGCCTATCCTTCTTACGAATAATAATAATATACCTGATTGTAATAAGCTTCATATATCGCGGTATGGCTTCCAGCCACCTGAAAAACGATATTCTTCGTTTCTTTCTGCGACAAGTATCCGATTTAAATAACAAATAAACGTACGAACAATTAATTCCGATAAGAAAATAATCAGCGGAAACGGGAGTATACGAGGCTTATCAACGCCCAAATGAATGACGGGTGCGTGAAAGCAAACCGATAAATCAGCAAATACGGATAACTTGTGTATCGCGTGCTAATAGGGATTTCTCACCAAATAAGTAAAAATTTACAGAAAAGTAGGCAAAATAACACTTGACATGAGTTTTGCATCAAAAAGGAATGCCTTGAACTAAACCGCTCGACGAGGATATATACCAACGATTGCATTATCGCGACAAAAACGTGAAAGTTCGACCGTTAGCGTGACCACAGTACACGGATCGCGACGAGGCCTCGCGAAAGGAAACTTTTTCGATGTCGCCGAAGCGTATCAAGCATTATATTTTCGTAAAATCGTCAAAATTACGAAGTACCTGCGTAGGTGACGGCAGGGCGGCCATACTTGCATTAAACACTGGCTTAACCAATCAGACCCTCAATCGATAGCATACGATTTTAACTGTTTCGCTTAGCATCGTTACGGACGTACTTTTGACATCGGCAGATGCTCGGATATATTATCGCAATCATGTTTTTATCTTATCTGTTTAGAATCGATGATCGCGCGGAGATAGTAGAAAATTATTACAATAATACTTTGCAGAATATAGTGCCGAGGTCTTCAGCCAATTAAATACGCAACCATTTGCGCCGTACGCTATACTCAACTGTCATGAACTGTACCGGATTTGTTCCCACCCAATCGTAGGCCGGTATTCATAATCAGATCTTATATTTAGGACCGTTTTAAATTTATCTTTAGATGCTTCATAGCTGGTGAAATGAACTGAAGATGAACTTAAGACAGTCTTATATTTAAAATCCAACTATGAATACTAGTCTGTAGATAATATAAGCCCTAAGAAATGCTCAAGAAATTAACCAATCACAATCGAATTATAGAAGAATAATCAATTGTGATTGGTCGATTTCTTAAGGCTCAAAACTCTATTAGAGATCTAGCCTTAAGCCAACGGCACACGATGTTTGTTTACGTGCTAGAATCGCTTGTTGGATAGAAATACTGCGTTCTAATTGGTGCTTTTCCAAAAATGGATGACAATACATCAATCAAAACGAAGTATTTCCATCCAGCACGAAAACAAGCATCGTGTGCCGCTGGCTCTAGTCCCGGTTTACAATAAATGTTTCTAAGTCTGAAAAAATTGACCAATCACGGTTGAAGAGGTATAGGAGAATAGTCGATTATGATTGGTCAATTTCTTAAGGCTTAGAATTTAAATTCTCATTGCAAACCCCTCTTTATCATAGGCTGGTATTCATAGTAAGATCTCAGCCCGTCTTAAGTTCATCTTCAGATGCTATACGGCTCATTTCATTGGCTACGAAGCATCTGAAGGTGTACTTTGTGGCCGGATGTCACTAGCTGAGTGAAAACATCGACGTTTAATCATCCAGGTCCCGCCGAACCTTTCGAAGTGAAGTTCCCCACGGATCCCGCTGCCCGTCCACGGTCGCCAGAGCGTTTTTGAGAACTTCGCCCAAACTCCAGGCCCGGGAAGCTGGACCGGCCAACTTTAAGCTATAAGAAATTGACCAATCATAGTTGATTACTCTTAAACTGTAAAATGGGTTAGTCGATACATGATCTACAATGGGTAATAGGAGTATGTTTATAAGATGTAAGAGTAAGAAATCAACCGATCATAGATCGATTATTTTCTTTACATTCGAATATGATCGGTCAATTTCTTATTCTTACTTCTTATGGACATATTCCTACTACTCATTGTAGACTAAGCTTGATTGATCAATTTGCTTACTGCTAAAGTCTTAAGGATGGGTTATTCTACAATGCCGGCCGTCAGTCGCGAAGGATAGCGATTATTAATTACAAAATGCATTTTCGACTGCAATAGATAGTCGCGATTACTAAAGTTGCTTAACTTTTAATTCCTGGAGACAGTAACTTGCATGCAGCATTATAGAATGCCCTTTACTATTTGAGTTTTTCTATGTGCTACCAGCCTTAAACGCACGCGATATATCGATCGATAATTATATCTCACTGACCAGAATCAACTAATCGATTCGTTTAGGCGCAAAATTTTAAATAAACGAAGTAACGCGAATTGCAACGTACAATCACTAACGGCTCATATGATAATCTTGCAATTGGAAAAGAACGTTTCGGGGGGAAAATATGTGAAGTACTGCTGAACGCAAGATTGAAATACACAGTTTGCACCACGGGTATGTAAATCACAATACTTCTTTAATACATTTATTCTTATATATCCATATTTATACACAGTAGTATAGCTCTATTATTATTATTATTAATAATTATATAATAGTGACGTAATGCATCTTGCATTCTCGTTCGATCGGTTAATATTTGACAAAAATACAAAAATTATTAATGTATAATAATTATTATGAGAACAAACGTGCTTACTCAGAAGCTCATTTTTTTGTTCTTTTTCGTTTTCGGCTTCCTTCCTTACTTCCTTTATTACGCGTTTTGTATCTTTTTTTCTCCTTACTTTCAATTATACATTACATTTAGTATACTTCTTTTTTTTGTCGTCCTAAATCGTCCGAGTATACATGAGGAAGTGCGAAAATGGACTAAAAAACATACACTAAGATAAAACGAAAAATATACTTGATTCTTTCAGCCGTAATCACCGACCGTTCATCTGTCGTCGGTGTCAGCGATTGCGTGTGTATGTGTGTGTGTGTGTGTGTATATAATTGAACGCGTATGTCAGTATGAGCGGTTAGCAATCCACAGCTTCGCGAGATCACGGCGAGAAGACATTGTTAGCCCGCAAACTCTTGCCCTTTTTCGACATAGTTTATGCGTACAGATTTACATTCTCTCCAAAAGAAAGGAAGGTAATCTACATTTGGTCTTCCAAGTTCTTCAAAACGCATCATCGACCTACTCATATCGTATTTTATACGAGAGTTTATGTATTATTTATATATTTATATATATGCAGTTGCTAAACGATAGTTTACTTACAACTATTTACTTCTCGCTTATATTAGCGGTAATTGGTAAAGCTTTGACAACGACCGCTCACGGTCGGTCCATTCATGGGTAGAAGAAACATTATTCCTCACGTATATATGGTACATGCGCAAATCGTAACAATTCTCACAGCACCTTTGTTTTATGAAAACACGTTTTCACATACATATCTCTCTCTCTCTCTCTCTCTCTCTCTCTCTCTGTTCGTTCGTGCTGATTTTGTGCGTGCATGCGTACACGCTCGACACACGGTTGTTCTTACACTTTCTTCTCTTTTCTTCTTTTTCTCTCACTGAAAGTATACCTGATCATTTGTTATTCACAATGAAAAAATGTTAAATATATTTGTATATATGTATGTGTTGCGTTGGTCAATGCGTGTTGTTTCATTCTGATTAATATGTATATATAACTATACACATGTTCGCCACTAATCAGTATGAGTAATGCAGTATTAACGAATGTGTACAACAGACGGAATCGATAATGGTTGCTTCTTTTTCTTCCTCTTCTTCTTCCTTTTCTTTTTTATTACAATCTCAATGAAAAAGATATAAATATCGCTGTTACTCATTGTTACTGCATCAGCATCGTTAATTTTACGTTCGTTCGTCTCGACAAACGGTGCGATCGGTTGTGTCAAACTTATTCTCATCTTGGCTGTCCTTTCTCGAAGACTTTTAGTTCGCACTTATGCGAATTAAATAACGGAGAGTATGATACATGCGCGTAAAGTATGTACGATAAGTTTTGCGTTTGCCGTTGCAATGAAAATCGCAACATCGTCTCGATGCATATATCTTGTTATGCATGTTTCGAGCATGGGTCAACTATGCGGTTATATTTTGCCAACAAACATAAAAATGCGTAATTCTTTTGATTTAATATCATCCTGACGCTCCCGAAAAACCGAAGTCACGATTCTATAATGAAGATTAGAATTCGGTGGACCGACAAGTCGATATTTGAAACAAGTACATATTATATCTTTTTGGTACATCTAAAAATGCATTTGGAGAGTATGACAAACGATTTTTCATATAAAATTCCTTGATATTCTTGGGGGGGAAAAAAAAAACCTTTCTAATAAAATTCGGGCAATAACTGTAAACTAATCGTTCAACCATAATTTCTATATAGTTTATTATTTATACGATTACTAATCTTTGATGTCAAAATAGCAAAAGAATGATAACTGGAAGGTATATTACACTAATGCGATTTGATTTCGTAAATTAACACAATTCAGGAGATTCTAATAAGACAAATCCCAACTATTGCAGTTAAGCTATGGAAAACAAGAAGACGTTTACATCGCTCTACATGATTAGTTCGAATATACCGAGAATACATTCCAATTTATTCTATTATATTATATTAAAAGTAACGTAAGTATATGTAAGAATAATAAAAGAGCGGAGATGTTTTTCTTTTTCTTAGAATATATATACTGCATATTTGCCATATATCCAAAACTTTTTAACTATACCGAGGAATATTTAACAGAGGAGAGTCGCATTAATCCACAACTCTCCGTTTAATCAAAAAATTATATGTAATAATTTCAATGTAATATACAAGTCATCGTATTAATGAGGAGTAATTGAAAACAACTCGAGTCACAGATACACGTAATACGTTTAAGTCAATCTCATCGCGAATGCAACGAGATCACTTACTGTGCAGCAGCAGCTCTCCTCACGAAGTCGCGTTTTACATGCCGAAAATAAGAACGTTATAATTACGACAAATTTGTACATATACCATGCGTTTGAACGATTTCACATGTATACATATCGTAATTTTTTAGCGTTACAGCTTTTCGTTGTTCCGCGGAAATGCGCTTTTCGCGTTAACGAGCCAAGATGCTTACATTACGCACGAGAAAAAAAAAAGTAAAAATAAGAAGACACTATAATCGCATATATACATATATTTTGAATATATGTATTCAAAATTGCACTGTGTAATATACAGCCGGGTGACCTTAACGAAACAAACTCAACGAATGTTTTCTCTCCTCTCTTCGTTTCCTTTTCGGTGTTCCATGTAACACGATCTGCGTGATATCGACTTTATCGTGTTGTGAAGTACCGGTAATTTCTTTCTTTCCACAAATGATCAGTTTGACAAATCATACCTGATAATACATCACGCGATCATTGCGCGGTAAACGCGATAACTTTATTTGGCACGAGTGCAACTTGAAGTTAGAAGGAATATGCAAATTATTATGTAAGATTTTTATGCATATTCTTCTACTTGAAACATAAGATGTTACTTGTAACGCACTCTTGTGTATTGGAAATGTTTGCAAATGCGTTGAAGTGAACGAAATATTCGGAACCCCCCCCCCCCTCCTTCTCTTTCTCGCTACGTATATATATATTTTTCGGCTTCCTTTACCGAATTAAATAAATAATATAAACCACAGAATATTGTACGCAAACACAAGTTCGAAATTAACTGTTCTGGTTATCGTGACAAACTCGAATAAAGCATCAGGTTAATAACTGCATATACCTTTCGATTTTTGGAAAAAATTACTTTTCATTACGCATTAACTCGTGTTACAACAAAACCTAAATTTAGTCTAAAAAAATGTCTCTTGCTTATCATTTTCGTATGTCATCTCAAGTATTTATGTTGAATTCAGTAAATCTTAGCACATGAGCGTCTCACAATAACAGACAAGTTTAGATTTCTTTAATACGTAGGTATTACGTTACAAACTCGTCCTTTTCTCAGTGCATCAATTCCGGTAGTATTTTAATTGCTGCCGGCCCAATAACTGGGACTGTACCCGGGCTTCGCTTGAGCCTTGTTCTGCGAACTTGTATTGGACCTCTGGCCCGTGCTGTTGGCTCCATCCTGATGCAGTGGCTGATGCAACTGATGAGGCATAGTCGGGATAAACAGATGCGGCGTACCGTAACTGCCGGGCAAGCCGGCGTTCTGACCACCCGTCAGACCAAACGGCGGCGGTGTAGCCGAGTGGAAAGTCTGTTTTTCGTAAGACTACAATAGTGGAAGGGTCAGTTGAGAACGGTAGCGCGCAACTTTACGTAGATTTGTATCTACGGAGGGCCGTTCACTCGCCTGGCGACATTACTTACATTCACTTTGCCGAGAGCCACGTGACTCTTGGCATACATCGTGGCGTTGATATCTGTCGCGGAAGAACCGGCGGTATTAGTGTTGCCGGTGGAAGTGCCGGTTTTGCCGGTCTGGGTAGCGGTGTAGCTGCTACCGGCGCCTTTATACTCCGCGGACGGGCCAGCGGAGGCTAGAGCGTCGTAGCTAGCCCCAGCGCCGTAACCAGATCCATAACTGCCCGGCTTAGTGTTATACGCACCGCTGTTCGTACCCGCATTACTAGCGGTTGCGATTTGCTACAATATGAACAATCAGTTACGTTATTTGTTCGTCCGCTCGACTTCGGATTCTTCACTGATTCTTAAGGCTTACTGGATAGATAGCGGGAGTTCCGTATTGAAAACCACCGGGCATGATTCCACCACCATAGGTAAAGTACGCGTAACCAGGTGGAAGCGTGGGGTTCATTATAGGTTGCTGGTGCTGCGTTGCGGTCTGCAAACAGTTCGCACGATTATATGACGAATATTCTTTTCGATACCGTCGCGATGAATTGATGAAACTCACTTGTTGCGACATGGTGGAAGGTACCGGTGATGCGTTGCTGTCATTCCTGGCGAACCTGGCGTCGCTGATACTGGTATAGGCTCCTTGCACCCCCTGCACGCCTTGAACGCCTTGCACACCAGATAAAGCATCGCCTCTGCCACCGCCGAGACTCGTTGCGGGACCGGTTGTCTGATAGCCCAGGGCCGCGTCATAGTAACCAGTAGTTGGCTGCACGTTAGTCAGGAAGGCCAAACACAAAACTACATGCATACACTGTGTACTCCAAATACAAGAAGGCTAACTAATGTCTAATCTCTACGCGTACCGGGCTGGGACAAGTAACATGCGAGAGATTGGTTGGTTGTGTCTATATTTCTTGTTACGCTTGCCATATCAAGATATTAACGTGTACTAATCCGGCTAAAACTTTCGATTCGCCGATGAATAGATCTCGTGCTATGTAAAATATTTATGTACTCCCGCCGTTACACCAGATTTTTCGATACAGTTCAAGATATTCGAGTAAAACGGCACAAAGTGTTATGCGATTATCACTTTACGCGCGCGTGTGGTGAATTCGACACGCATATTTTCATATTGTTTCGTAACATCACTCGCATACAATTTATAGTGAAATAAACCAAGTCCAGATAAAGAGGAAAGTGAAGCCAGGACAGATCGGATGTTGAAACTGTGTGTTGTTTCGTAACTTTGTGGAATGAACTTCAAGTTTTATCCCCAGCAACATCACTCTCCCACCATCAAATATACTTTCACAACTTGGTAATATTAAATAAACCTTATCCTTCTTTGCACCAGCGTATTTGTCTCATACGCGATACATATTGCTACAGACAAGTTTGTGTTGTCATCGTGAGGACATCCATAGGAGAAGATCGAAAGAATTTTGGAAGAGAGAGAAAAAAAGAAACGTTGGATTTACGAGCAGCTACCAAGCAATAAAGAAATGTTTACCTTGGCATTCGTACCAGATAACAATAACATAAGAGGTAGCGCAATCTCGAGGCAAGTACACTCGGATGCTAAAAGCAATTCATATACGTGATAAAAATGATGATAGTCTCGTTAATTTTTCCTCCGGTGTGTACATAACTTCGAGGGAGCGGTACCCGTGGAAAAGTACGTTCGCACTTGAATGAACTAATCGAGCAGTAACTGACCATATGCGGTATTCTTTGTTGCACGAGTTGCAACTCCTCGTAACTGTACATCGGCTGTTGAAAAGCGTAAGGTACGCCTTGGCCCATGATGTATTGATGACCGAGCATAGGCGTCATATTTCCAGCGGCACCGCCACCCGTAATGTTACCGGTCCCGCTGGTACCCGTCACCACTCCACTCGACGTGCTTTTCGGCACAGCTGAGAGCAATGAGAATATTTTCATTAGATCCTTTTTAGCGGCGGTCTCGTCGACATCAATCGTACCAAGTGGTATTCGCTTACCGTTCGAATTAGTTACTTTAGTCTGTGAACTGTTCACCGAGGCAGAGCTAAGACCCAACGTAGGCGCGGTAGTCGTCGCGAGGGAGCTATTGGACGTTGTCGCGTTGCTATCGTATTGAGAATCCTTGCTCGCAGTGTTGTTCAATTTGTGATTGTGAGTTGCCGTTTGTGGCTGACTGGTATAGCTAGCGTATGGGCTCGCGTATACCTGTTCATTCGTTACATACATATCAGTACGTATGTATGATATGATGCGATGGAAAAAAGATGCACTTACAGACTGGGCGGCGCTCTGATAACCACCCGAGCTTTGCGTTATCGGCGACGTAAATGTCGTGACCGAAGACTGATAAGCCTGTGGCTGGTAAGCTTGATATCCTGCGTTGCTGTTCGATACCGTATTAGTGGCTACGGATTGCGCTTGATATTGCGACGTCGTAGTCGGCACATATCCACTCGCAGACTGATAAACCTATCGGGGACAAAAAAAAATGTGTAAATCTCGATATATATATGAATTATCTGACGATTTGTAACACATCAGATACAATCGTTACCTGGCTACTAGTAGTAGGTTGGTTATAACCGGAAGTCGCAGATGAGGATGCGGAGGGAGAGGCTTGACTGAAAGTCGATGCGTTGGATTGCGGGAACGACGCTGACGAATTGTAGCTCGCCTGTGAAACTGTCGCAGTCGCTGAATAGCTATTTGTATTAGCAGACGCTGACGCGGTCTGAAAGGTGGATTGAGAGGATTGACTGTTCGTCGAGTATGCGTTGTACGTGCTCGGCGTGCCGCTTGACGGTTGGAAAGACGATTTCTGCGACTGATACGTCGTCGGGGGCCCATACGTTGGTGCATTTCCCGGCGAAACTTGCGATGTGAAGTCTTGTTTAGTTATGTCCAGACTTTGACCGCTACTGCTTCCACGCGCGGTGAAACTTTGCGAACTAATCGAATGCTCGCTTGATACCGGCAAATTATCAGTACCTGACAACTGAACATTTCACGTACAATTACGTAGTGTTCGGTGTTGCGAATAGCGTGCTCGAAACATCTTGATAAAAGTGAAATAAATAAAAGGGATGACATAAGAATCAGGTCGCTAAGAAATTCTATTGGTCAACAATACTCTATTGCAAAAGAAAAACAGAACAAAAACACGGAGAATAATGTCAAATGTGAAGTCAAATGTCAGCGATAAAAAATGGAAAATTCCTCCTGAGGCCATTGGTAGCGATGGTACGTTACAGCGGGAATCGTGATAAAAAAGAAAAAATAATCTGTGCTTATCGTCAAACTATGTCAATCAACATCAATCTGATATTTTAGATTATCACAGTGTGGAGAAATACTTGGTTTGGTTGCCAGGTTAGCGCCGCGTCTTTTATGGATTTATTTCCAACGTGAACATTTATTTTTTCAGATCGTTCTTCTTCCAAATCAAGCACTCAACCATCAATGTTAACGAACAATTAAGAGAAAAATCATCTATGTTTCTGTTCTTTTTCCCGACTTTGAGGCAATATGATTATTATTTATTTTTCTTTTGTTAGCTGGGAAGAGTCCGCAGCGAAGATTCAAAAGTTTTATGTATTAAATTATATACAGAGTATTCCAAACTAATATCGGTTTCCGCGGGAGAACGGGTAAAACTGAGCAGAAAAGTCACGCGCCATTTTGTAAAATTCGCAATAATTAATAAGGAATTAATTATTTAATTAATTATTCTGAATAAAAAAAAAAAAATTGCTCACTTCTCAAGATTTCTCAGCAATAATGAATATCAACTGATAACGAGAAATGATCCTTCTCGGCGCACAACTCTTTGTCACATGCTTGCTGCGTTACTCCGCCTTTAGAAATCGGTTGATGCTCATCGTTTCTAAGAGATCTTCAAAAATAAGCCATTTTTCTTTATATAGAGTTCGGCCTACCGTTTCCCCTGCAATCACTAGCTGAGATGAAATAATGAATTCCTCATTCGCTAATGTGAATTTTGCCAAATGATACATGACTTTTCTGCTTAGTTTCACTCGTTTCATCTGCATACCGCGAGAACCGAGATTAGTTTGGGACACCATGTGTGTGTGTGTGTGTATGTGTGTGTGTATTTTTTACGCGCGATATTTTTTACCATAAAATTGTTTGCGCATCATCAGTGGCTTTTACTAGCTTTACTTATTTCTCGATTTCTCCGAGTCAAGTAGAGATTATTTACCATTTGAGAACTAGCGTTGTAAGGTGTTGTGGAAGTCTGCGTAGTTTCGATGTCGAGCGAATTACTCGCATTGGCAGTGTTCACAGCATTCGGGCCGGAAGTCATATCCACGCCGGAAATTGTACTATTCGTCGAGTTGTACTTCTCATTGGCGGAACCATCAAGAGAGCTAGAATCGCTACCGAATTCGAGCGCACCAAATTGTACATCTAGAAAGCCGATTCCGCTGTTCACCGCGTCACCCGGCATTTCCACCGCGCTCGATGGTATCTTGGATGGCGGAGGAACTCTAGGACGTTGTTTTGTCTGTCTTTGGGGCTGAAATTTATACATGTTACAAGTTAGCCAAGTATTTATGCAGATATTAACGTGAACAGGTTCATGTGGAAGCATTTCAAAGAATAATATGACCATACCTGATTAGACATGGTTGACGTAAAAGACGTTTGTCCAGCAGCTTTCAAGTTTTCACTTGATTGTTGACTAAGCTGTGTTAAATATTGGGTTTGTGCCGCTGTTAGAACACCGCTACTAATAGCGCTGGGTTGCTGCGGTAATTGCATCGCCGGCAAGCTTAATACAGGTTGTGGCTGTTGCTGTGGTTGTTGCTGTTGTGAAGGTTGTTGCTGTATTAAGCTCTGCTGCTGCATCGTCGACATGTCCGACAATTTTGGCAATTCCTGTAAATTACGTGCGTAAAAAAGGTATTATTAATGCGTGGACGCATATGTGCGTAATGCATTTCCTCGTATCTCATAAAACCTTACTTCTTGTTGAAGAAGTGATAAATTAACATTTTGGCCCGATTGCGTCGATGGTATTTCCTGTGGCTTTGGTTCATCTAGCGCAGGAGGAGGTTCCAAAATAGATGTGCTTGGAGTGAAGACTTTCGTGTCCGCCAAAGAACCTGTATATTCTTCGTTATCCCAATCTTCCGTTGAATCAAGATTGTTCCACGCATCTATGTATAATATATTTATATTATAGATTAATATGTGTTCGTTCATGATATTTCTTTTTTACATTTTTATTCATATATATAAGACAAAATATCGTACTTTGTTTCAAAGAAGCAATTTCACTTATATAAATAATAATTTAATATATAAACGGCAATGTTACAGGAGAAACAATGTCTATTAAAGAAAATCAGGACTTACCCATTTTCGGTTCTTGGATACTTTGTTGCTGCTCTTCACTCCCTGTCCAAGTGTCAATTGGACGATTAAAGCTATGAGTAGTGGAAGCAGATGATGGATCATTGCGATTTGCAAACGTTCGCGGTCCAAGGCCCCTGCCACCACCACGGCCTCCACGACCCGATCTTCCAGGCCCACCCCTTCCTCTTCTGCTGTAGCTGCCGTCGCGAATGCCATCCTCCATGTTTCTTTCATTTTCCTTGTTTTCCCGTCCACGCCCTACACGTCAACAAATATGATTTTGCAAAGATTCCCAAATTTATATGTGAAATAACGAAGAAATTCATAGTGTGTATTTTCTTTCTTTCTTTCTTTCTTTCTTTCTCTCTCTCTCCCTCGTTATTAATTAATAGGAAAAACAAAAGATACGTGTAAAATGTGTGCATATTCACATTATTTCAGAATGGCTCGATGATGAAATAATTGAAAAATTTAATAAGGAATTAAACTAACATCCACGATTATCATGATTAGCACGGCCTCGCATGCGTGGAGGACCACCACTACGTTGGTTACGTCGCTCCTCCCAATCACCACCATCATCCTGTCCACCTGTTTGATCAGTGATCTGTTTAGATCCGCTTGGTTGACGCAGCTTCTTCTTTTTAACCTCCCACTCTGGCCTCCCTATATTTTCCAAAAGATCATTCACAGCACGATTCAAATCACCATCGTTGTCGTGCAAAGCCATCACTACTTCGTCCTCCGTTCGCATGGTCATGTCCATGACTTGCTGGACGCGTTCTTTCAAAGAGTCCTCGCCTCCAGCCATTCTGGTTTCAATAAGTTGTGTATGCCGGGTCTGAACAGTGTTTTGCTGCATGGAACAATAATTGAAGACAGTATTCTTTAAAAATGTTACAACGATTGTATGTTATCTTTTTACTTAGGTTTGTCATCTAGTAAGATAGTTTGAATATTTTGTCACAAACAAAATAACTTCTTATGTGCAATTACATATATCAAGATTTCTAATACTCAAATTTCTCACAAAAATCTACTACCACAAAACTACTACAATAGAGTGTGTTATAAATATGTTTCTGTAATAAATTATATTGATAAATTTAACAATTAGTGAATACTAAATTAACGAATAACGTTAAGTTGTATACCAACCTGGGCTTTATCATGTTTAATCGAATCTGATGATTTAGTTTGATGATGATCTGATTTCCCATGTTGTGACTTGTTTTTGTTGGTGCCTCTTCCAGAGGACACCAATGATTTGTTATTTGAGCTCATTGCCAATAAAATCTCACACACCTACGCACTCACAGTATGTACACTCTTTATTTACAGTCTGAAACAGAATAGACATCTGTTATTTCATATATTATATTACATAAATTATAATTATTACTATAATTATTATTATCATATATATGTGTGTGTGTATGTGTGTGAACACATATAGTTATTAAATCATTTAACATTCAATTGCGTGCAGATTATAAATATTTATATTAAAAGCGTTATAACAAAAAAAAATGTTAATATAAATTACATGTATTGATTAAATTGTAAATACATAGTATAAACATAATGAGGCATAAGATTATTATTATAACCTTGTTTTTATTACGTTTAAAATATTAAGATGATATAAAAATGTAGCTTTATTTAAAAATGTTCCAAATGTAAAAAGGTTAATGATTCATTGATTAAAAGAAAGGAAAGTTAGGACTGCGTGTAGGAGCCTATATGCAAGTGTTTGAGCAAAATTAAATAGTTTATTGCTCCAACATGTGTACATAGGTTTCATATGTAATGTTTTCTAATTTTTGGTTCCAATTTATGTTACCAAATATCTTTGTACTATAACAATATTATGCAAACTTATAAATTCTATTTGATAGTATTTTGTAATCTACAGAATTTCTTTTTATGCAAATTGTGTACTGCATTTCCCAGTATATTTTATATGTATTTAAATTCCTTTCCAAGTTTATGAAACAACACAGATTAAAAATTTCACTCGACAATGTGTTTATGGTCAGTGGAAGAATACCAAGTATTGAAATATTTCCTTGTAGCAATTTAAAAGCAGTTAAGTAAAATTTAGCAAAATATTATTATCTTTAGTCATAATTGTTGGTGAGTCTTACAATATGAGAGACAATCCTTAAATAATAATAATGCGTAAAATAAAAAGATCTTTGGCTGAACAAATTTTACGCTTGGAAAATATATATGAAAACCAGACAAGGTTAGGATGATTTAATAGCTTTAAACTATAGAGAATAAAATCCGGCGGGACAAGGAAAGTTAAAGGCAATGTGCACACTTATCGTACGGCGATCTCCCGCGACAAAGGAGTGATGTGTTCCGCGTGGCGCTTTACGTAGAAGAATGCACGCCGAAGGTCCTCGGAAAGATCTCTCGCGAGATTCTTTGCGAACGATCGCGCGGCCCCAAAAATACGATCTAACACGAAATAACACACGGGATGGAGGGGGAGGGTGTCTCGCACGAATATCGTCCAATCGAAAAACTTCACCGTGGATTAATCATGGAATTTCACGGGAGATAATGCCAAAAGTAGGAAGAATTTTGACGTTGTGCTACAGAAACCCGATGATGAAAAAAAGAACACTTTGTCGGGCGCGTCGTCGAGTACCGCTCGCACACGTCGTCACGTAAGCTGCCCGTGCGTAAGATCAAGTCGAGACGAAAGGAGGAGTAGGCGACTCGCGGGACGACGCACTACATGAACTTTCGGTACCGATCGTAACTCTCTCACGGCGAGGATATTTTTTAGCAGACCATGTGCACAGCGGACGCCATTTCTGCTTGTGCGAGAGGAAGGCTTGTCAACCATCGGCGCGGCGATGCATCGACGGGGGATCGGCGGAGTCGAAATGGCCGAAGAAGAGAATTCTTTGCGTGTACCTCACGGCTACTGTAGGCGACGTACGCCTGCTCCGTTAAACGCGTCGAGAAGCAGAAGCGAGCGGAACTCACGGCACCTCGGCGCTTGGGGCCGTGGCGCGCGAAAAACTACAAGAAAAACAACGGATTCGCTTCGTACCTGGTTAGTGCGCTCAAAACGCAGCTCGGTCACGTGACCGTGGCAGCCCCCTTCCTGATGCACCCACCAGACACCCACCAACGCAGCCAGCACCACCTCTTTCGCTCTTTATCGGGCTCTATACAGCTAGCTACTAATGGCTCCCGCGGACAGGACGTGGCGGCGTTCGCCGCGCCGTGAAAAACAACCTGGTGGCCAATTGACTTGTTGCTGTTCCGTGAGAGCGAGTGGCCAATTGGCTACCGCCATAGCTGCGTCCTTTATGCAGGAGTAGTAATTTTCAATAAACGTAGTCCACAATGGGCAATACAAGTATGTTCATAAAAAGTACGAATAAGAAATTGACCACTCATATTCAAATGTAAGGAGAATAATCGACTATGATTGGTTAATTTCTTAAGCCAGCGGCACACGATGCTTGTTTCATGCTGGATCGTTCGCTGGATGGAAATACTACGTCCTGATTGGTATATCGTCATCCATTTTCGGTAATGTACTAATTAGAACGCAGCGTTTCTATCCAACAAGCAATCCAGCACGAAAACAAGCATCGTGTGCCGCTGGCTTAAGTCCTAATCTACAATAGATGCTTTAAATCTTAAGAAATTGCAGTCACAATGCTTTAAACTTTATGAAATTGACCAATCACAATGCTTTAAGCTTCAAGAAATTGACCAATCACAATCAAATTTTAGAAGAATAATCAATTGGTCAATTTCTTAAGGCTTAGGGTGAAATTACATGGTGCGTAATAGAACTGCGGAATAGAAGCAACCAATCAACATACAAAATTTGCGTGATGGAAAAGAACGGAGTAGCGCTGATTGGTTGCTTCTATGACGCACTCTCTATTTAGCAGTTCTATTAAGCACCATATAATTTCACCCTAAAGAATCTGAAATTCTCATGCTAAACCTATATCGGAGAATCCATACGGTTCAAGACATCCTGAGGGAAACATTTACAACCAACCATATTCCTTTTACTCACATTCTTACTTTTCTGAAAACCACTAATCAATGTCTATATAACTACTAGGGTAATCGGGCGTGTCCGGTTATTCCCTGTCCAAATAACATTTATCAGTGGTATTAGGGCGATACAAGCGGTCTGTTCTTTATAGCTGCGCTGCTGAACTAATGTATTAAGTTGAAATGAGACAAGTAAATATTTTCTCACTTCAATTTATTGCAATTCAGCATCCAATTTAGCAGTGCAGCTATAGGATGCGTTCGAGGAGACGCTACTTAGCACTAATGCCTCATTCTATCTTTGTTACTCTTTACATATACAACAAGGATAGAATAACGCGGTAGCGATAAAAATAGCGTCCCCTCGAACGGCGGCAGCCAATAAACTTTCAGTTCTCGTGGAAAAGCGTCACGTTGATCGGCTACCGCGGCAAGCGTTGTCGCGTCCTATGGGCAGAAGCCATAAGGCTGCCTGCCACCAGAATCGAAGAAAGGAAGGAAAGAGAAGCAGACCTGTCTATGCATTGGACTGTGATTTTACTTACCCGCCAGTCTTCATTGTTTTAATTATAATCGAAATGGATTCCTACGTAATGCAGGTATTTCGTTTAATTGTATATCAGGATGAAAAGATAGAAAATTTTTGTTACTTCATCTTGGTCTTATTCGTAAGATTCGACGACTGTGGCTTAACCAGGATGGGGAAGCGTTGGCGGTAAGCAATACATAAATTTATTCCATTCAATTATTATATGGATTGTACAAAAATCGTTTTTTTTTTTAAGGATCTTCTGTCATTGAGACATGGCCATGTCATGATTCCTCAAATTGGATCTGAAATTGCAATAAACAAAGCTATAGAGCATTTATCCGCACCTTTGGATGACTTGGTACTTTACCACTTAAAGTAAGAGCATATCTTTCCTTCTTTTAGATATTTGTATATCACTAAATATGTATATATATATATATATATATATATAGAGAGAGAGAGAGAGAGAAAGAAAAAAAAAAGAGAAAGAAAGAACAAATAATATTATTATTCCTAGAGCTGTATTCGCAATGAATAAGAATGATCCGTTCGCATTGTACAACCAACAAAGCTCAGCTGTGCAATGCCTTGCAAAGATTCTGCAAATGCAAAAAGAAGAAAATTGGATGTTGCCAGTAATGAATGTAATGTGCCTGGAACTGAGATTATCTGCGATAGGTGCAGAAAATTCCAAGAACAATAAGAACCTGAAGCATGGTGAAGTACTTGAGAAATGTGCTGAATGCTTAATGGCTTGCTTTCGGGTTTGCGCGGCTGATAGTAGAAGTTCAGAAGAAGATACGAAACGATGGGGGATGTTATCTTTAATCAATCAGTTGTTAAAAGTATATTTTAGAATTAACAAATTGCATCTATGTAAACCTTTGATAAGAGCCATAGAATCTTCTTCCTTCAAGGACCACTTTGCATTGGCGCATCAGATTACATATAAATTTTTCGTCGGCCGCAAAGCAATGTTCGACAGTGATTACAAAGTTGGTGAGTGCATATCTTGTTTGTTTTCTTTTCTTGGAAAAAAAACGAGTGACCACAATTCATATTTCTTATCGATCTCAAAAATTGATAACATCAAATTGTTTCAGCCAATAAGTATTTGACTTACGCGTTTGAGCATTGTCACGTAATGAGCTCGAAAAATAAAAGACTGATTCTGACTTATCTTGTGCCAGTCAAGATGTTACTGGGATACATGCCGAAGCAGAATGTCCTACAGAAGTACAATTTGATGGAATTTTGGGAATTGATGGAGTCCGTAAAAAAAGGAGATTTACGTTCCCTAGAAAAAGTGATGGCGAAACACGAGGCATTCTTCATCGGCGCCGGCATATATTTGATTGTTGAGAAACTCAAATTGATTGCCTACAGAAATTTATTCAAGAAAGTATACCTAGTACTGAATACGCATCAGATACCAGTGCAGAGTTTGCTCGTGGCATTACAGATGTACGGAATGGAAGATATAGATATGGATGAGACCGAATGCCTTCTCGCAAATCTGATTTACGAGGGTAAAATTAAAGGCTACATATCGTTTCAGCACAAGAAGTTAGTTATATCCAAGCAAAACCCTTTTCCACTGCTATCTACAATACCGTAATTGTAATATCGCGACCGATGTATTATTATACTTTTAATAAATTTATTGCTATTTTTATTTGTAGTTTTCCGTTTAGCGAGAACAATTGTTCATAGGTGCGTCCCACTACATTCTCGCAACGCCCAAATTGCCTTTCAAGCCATTAAACTAAACGCTCGCGATGTTTACCGCGTATTGTTACAACTAACTTTATAATTAGCTTTCTAGGGGAGAATTCTTACCTTGACAGAAAAGCAACCAATCAGAACTCGCGTTAGTAGTCGACAGTTTCTGCTTTTCTGTCAAAGTATGAATTCTCCCTAATGTTCGTGCTGAGGAGATGGGTTGAGTGAGTGTTTGATGAATTTTACCCAGAGTTCTTTGCAATTTATATAAATTTAATAAATTATCAGAAAATAAACTTAATATTTAACTTAAAAAGGCTCTTACATTCATAGTATATAACGGAAAACTTGCAGAAACCAACTATATTCTTGAACGTAAACTATGTTTCTCTTTTCCATTCGTTGACGTCCATTCTTCTTGTTCTGCGTCGGAAGTTTGGTTAGTGTCACTAATTGATGAGTAATTTTTCGATTTTCGCTTAAGTATAATTCTGAAAATTATAAATAAAACAATTTTTGAAATATTAGATATCATGAAATTTACTGAATTAAACTGAAACCCGACTGTATATTAATGAAATGGGGTCAATTCAGAGAGTATTTCAGCAAAATATTTCTATCAAGTATATATTTAAAAGATATATCTTGTTTAAGAAAATATAAATCTTACCTTTCCAATCCTGTCAATCAATTCTTATCTCATGAAGAGAAAAGATTCCAGACAATCTAGACAGAAGAATAGAATTTTGTTAGCTGAGGTAATCACTTCACTTACATTTTAAATCAATGTGAATGATAATCAGCAAATACTATACAAATCATAGCATTCAGAGATCTTGGTGAAATGTTTCATCATACTCGAGTGTTAATATATATATAATAAATGAGATCTATGCAATAACTAAGAATTACCTGCAAAAATTGACATCGTTATTCCATTACTAGGTCTTGCAATAATTTAGCAGAACTAAAAAATAAATTACAATTTTATGGTTTGTGATATGCCATATTGTTCATACGCAATATCGTTTTGATCGAAGTGGATTAGTAGGAGCAAATTGAAGTCACGGAATTTATAAATCTTGGTAATAATAATAACATTGTTTTATCTAATTTCAAATATAAAGTACAAAGTAATATTTGAAAAAAATATATTGTTTAAAAAACAAAACGTACCTCTTTATAATCTTGCAGTACCTATCTTAAAAAGAAAGGTGATTCTAATCTAGATAGAA